ATCATCATTGTCATCATCATCATTATGGGAAAGGTATAGAGCTGTCATCATGCCAGCCATGTTAGGGGAATTGAATTGTTATTATGTACAATTGTATTGTTTCTGCCATCCAACATGGCTGTCATCATTTGACCATACAAAAATATCTATTTAGATATTTATTTCTTATTGAAAGATTGAAAAAAGAGTAATTTACCTGTTCTTTCTCATCGCATGAATAGCCTGCAAAACAAGGATGAATCATCATCTTTTTTCTTAATTTTGTCTTTTCCTTCAGAAATTATTATTACTATTATTATTATTATTAGTGTTATTATTATTATTATCATATTATATTATTATGATCATTATTTTGCAAATGTTTTAAAAATGCTTTTATTCTATTGTCCTACAAATACAGGTAAAAAATAATAGCAAGGACATACTTCCTCTGCTCCAAGTCTCTCTGCATATATCAGGTAACAAGCAATCAATACACCAGTACGACCTTAGGAACAATGAAAAAGAATAAAATAACCTGGCACCAATCTACTACCAGATACTTAACCCCTCACAGGAGGCTACACCACTCTAAAGGGGAGCACGGACCGTCATGTGCACTGCTAATACACCACCCCTCACCAAGAATGYGACCCATGTTCAAGTCCCGGCGGCATCAGTGTTACTGTATATGTGAGTAGAATCATTTGTTGGTTCTTTCCTGTGCTTCTAGGCGATGAGGGGTTATGTACTTATCAGTTGGAACAGTCAAGTTGAATTGTGTAGTTCCAAAAATTATCCACATCCCCCTCACGGAGGAATTTTTTAAGACACCYCCCTACCCCCTGGAAATTCCAATTTTCTTCCATACAAACTCTGTAATTTTTGTTCTTTCTCTGACCCCCCTACTCTTCAGAAAATCCAGATTCCACATTATGAAAGAGTAAAAATCTGCGGAAGAAAAATGTACTAACCTAATCCAGCATGACAGTGAACTGCTGTCTACAAACATTAAAATAAATAAATAACAATTATTAAATACAGTACAGTAAATTTATCATAATTTTTTAGCATATTAATAYAATCAAAAAATCTTTTAAAGGTTACATTAATTCATTTGTCTCACGATTGTGGCAACTAGGAGGACCACTTTGACCATTTGGACGCAATCGTGAGACAAATGTAGAATAAGTATAGTCCTTGATTTATATCCACAATGAATAATCGTTTCCATTCAAAAAGTATTTTGTAAGACCAGTTTGAAACTACATCTACAGCTGTATAGCAACTTATATGCAACTTACAGTAATAGGGTCTCTACACTGTAGTTCAAATCCTCAAGGTTTAACAGAGGATTTTAGAGGTATATTGAAAGACTAAGGAGCACCTAAAGCTGAGGGTTCCCTATCTCCCCCCACCCCCCCCCCCCCCCCACTAGATCCCTTTCCTCTCCACAGTCTCTAAAATTCCATTTTTCCTTAATTCATAGGAATTATCTATAAAAGATGAATTGATCAATAAAGATAAAGACCCACAGTGATAAGCAAGAGATGATGATGATACATCCTGCGGGGTAATGCAGAGGTACTTTAGACCCTTAATGGATGAGACAGCAGGAGACATTTGTGCTTTTCACTTACAAACATGTGTGGTGAGTACAGTGTAGAGTTGTCTGTTTGTTCTCTTCTGTGCTTCAAGGGTTTTGGGGTTTCTCTTTTTTTCCCTCCCTGGGATTAGATAAAAAGTAGACCAAAACCCACCTCAAGAAAATCCTACTGCTAAATCCCAATTTATTTTATTTTGTTAATAGATACGTAAACGAAGGACCACTAACACTACTCATAGAGTAATGATGGTGTTATTTTTGTAAATAGCTTCTATAGGGCTATGGGCATGAAAGAAATGAGGAAATTTAAAATGAACAAAAGAAAGAAAAAATGGAAGAATGAAAGGAATAACAATTAATATGCAATACCTTGCCTTCTTGAAGCGCAAACGACATCACTTTAACCATATCTAATATTGACTCCAGGGAGCGAACCCCATAGTCATTCCTACAACAACAAAAACAACTTATTTCACTCAAGGGGTAAACCAATTTTAACAATTTTATATCATTTTCAAACAAATCCCAAGGCTAGCGATGTTTCTTTATCAACAACGAAAATAGATATTCCAACCAATTTTGAATTTGATGTTTACTTTTAACAAYTTTGATTAATTACTAGTTCAATTATTAATAATGATGAATTCAGTATAAATACTTTAAAAACTCATTAATAATTCATGAAGGAAACACAATAGAAATCATGACCATGAAGGAGGTTTTATATCTGATATAGATTCGTCTTCATTTGCATAAACTTTAACTTGGATTTTCTCTATCAAACTTGGTTCATTTCGTAAAGAATTGGGTACAGTATGAGAACATACATCAGGAGTTTTTTAAGCCGTTTAATAAACTCGCAGATCGTCTTTTATCGGGTATAAAACACGAGGCGTAGCCTGCTCGTTTATTAAACAGTACATAAAACAAATAAGGCACCCAGACTTTTATAAATTGTGTAGTTCCAAAAATACTCTTCGGAAATTTGAAATTCCCCTGTGGAGTGGGTATGGATGCTTTCTGGAACTACATATTACATTACAATATAGAATGAATTCTGTGAAGATTCTCTCATTGGATATTTGATACCCCAGACTCAGTAAAAGCAATTCATTATCACAACCAAAAATAGAGATGAAGTGTCAGGCAATTAAAAGTGAAATGAGACCAGCGCTACACCATTAAAAGGAAATAAAAAAACTACCACTTATTTGTCACAATTTCAGAATCCTTTACAAATAATCCATATAAATTTTAAATTTTGTTTTGTTAATATTAAATATTTGTTTGAATGCTAATTTTATAACTTACCAATTAAAATTGTAGTAAAAAACTAAATAAAAGAAAAAGAAAAATATTGAAAAGGGAAAAAAACAAGAAAGTATAAATGGATAACCTTATTATTTATAACATTATATATTTATGTACATATGAGTATATCATAGAGACTATATACCTATTTGTACTGCGGTTATAATGTATCTAATTGAGCTGATCTGTGCAGTATATCAATTAAGCAACTTATGCAGTTGCTAATTATAAGACTCAGAAAAATTCTGAGTCTTGAGGATTTGAACCCATGCCCTGACCATTCCGTTGCCATGCTCTACCAAGTCTCATATGGGACTTATTTTATGATACACAATAGTTCGTACACAAAGAATAAATTACGTAGTCGTCTGTCAGGATCAAGAAGTTTGAGGGAAAGTATATATTTTAAGATTTTCTTCTTACTAAATCTTTGCAACCATTGAAAAGCATTTTAAATTTATACAGAAACAACTTTTCTTCTGTAGGGAGAATTAAATGTTATATGTATATAGATTATTATCATGTCTATGGCTGAAACCATCAGGGGTTTTATTCCACATTTGATATTTTATTTCAAGGACAGACGACAGGTGCAAACAGAGTAAATAAGAGAATGCAATGTGAATATACAAACTCACTTTTAGCTTGCATGAATTCTTCAGGGTCGTATGAAAACCCACTCACATTTACTCCAGACCCACAGCTGGAATGTTCGTCAGGGTGCTGTAAATTGATAATTGATTTTATTCCRAGCCTGTGTGTATAAAAAGGAATTACGATTAGAGACTCATTTAGACAAGACACTTCATTAGGATGATAATAACTAACAGCTTTTGTCGATCTTTCAATGAAGGAACCACAACTGCATTAATAGTCCTGTGGTTACAACACCAATTAAGATTTTATAATTCCTTTAACTAACCTCCAAAACTTTTTTTCTTCCACTCTTCCCTTCATCCCTTTTTTAATTCAATCTTTTATTTTTCATTTTTGACTCATTTCAAGATTAAGAAAATAAAATTGCATAGATACATGTGCAAGGTGTATTTTAACAATTTTTTTGGATATTTTTGAACTGAAAAATGAGGTAAATCTGAGACGATTCATAATGTTGACATATGGTTTCCATGGCAACAAGATAGCACTATGAAAAGATTTACATGTAAATATACTACTTCATGAAGGGTTTTTGGGATTCTTTGATACTGTCGATAAATATTGAGCTAATATACAAGACCAGGGAGTGTAATATAAGAGATAAAGGTTATTTTATCGAGAAAATGCCTAATCCAATGCAAAGTGGACAATGGTAGCTTTAACCTAAATAATCATGAACCAATCTTGAAAAACAAACATCCGTGGTTTGTACTCAAAAAAACACCTTTCGAAAATAAGCCTTGGAAAATTAGATATCTCTGAGGTTTCTCTTTTTGATACTTACTTTTTAAATTGTTCAATAACTTTGTAGTTTTTGATAATTTCACTCGATGGACGAGCCGTTGCTAAAATGTCATCTGTGACCCTGAAGTAAACATAGACAAGCAGATCATTAAGTAAMCTCTGACCATAAATTAGGTCTTCTTCGACAACCTCGAAGTTTAAACATACTGAACTTTTTAAGTTAAGTTAAGCTAAAGTTTTTCAAATGAAAATCGGAGTCGAAGAAAAAATGACAACAACCTTGTCAAAATGTGACTGAGTTTGAGTGTATTTCTTTATAAATAATCCTAGTTCTTTTTAATAATGGAATGACTCACCATGAAGAATATAGTCCATGTATAGCCATTTCTTCAGGTTTAAACTTGGATGGATTTTCATATTTACATTGTTTTCCACCGCAAAATATCGAACACTGCAACGCGCCCGGCGCCGCATGACGAAGCGACTCTGAAAAACGCGAATATTTCGGCCCTGCATCTCGTTTTGTCGCTCCTTTTGACGACGTGGACGTCCACTTGACTTGTCCAGAGTTCCCGGTTTCCATTTTGAGGTAAAATAGTTAGAGAATAGGGGGAAAACAGTGCAATATTGAAGGGAATAATATCGCTCCTAGTTGGTTGAGGATGTCCGCCATCTTGAAACTACCGATTAGCCAATCAGGTGAGGGTATTTTCCCCCATAGCCCCACTAGAAAAGCATTAGTCAAATTCGATTGGTCAAAACAAAGGCTATTATAAGCAAATTTTAATTGGAAATCAATTAGAATTTTGGCAATCCATTTGATAGCTTCCCCTCTGSTGAAAATTGTTATTATAGAAAGTGCTTAGATATTATAACGGATGTCGCAAAGTGACAATTTCGACGACTCCAAATGGAGTGCTTTGAGTAAATAACAGCATAAAAACCGTGCCGAAACGCACGGCTATTGAATGAATAAACTACGTGGGACAACAGCTTTACAACTAAGAAAATGTATTAGATGACATGCATCGTGTACGCGGTTATTTAGCTCGGTTCGAACAAGGTTCTCTTCTTCGTCGACTCGAGTTCAATCCGATCCAGTCCTTTCTAAAACTCTGTATCTTTTTTGTCTCAGTTCCTCTTAAGTTTTTCTCTCACTTTCTAAATCTCTTGTAGTTTCACTTNCCCCCCCCCCTTCCACCTTCACCACCACCACGTAGCGGCGCTTTTAAGGGGTCCTTTTCCCTTTCTCCTCCCCTCCCACTCCCAAAAGCGCAACTAGGCAGGAAATCCCCCTCTAATTCATCTGGCCCTTCGACTTGAACCATTCCCTTCTAGCTAAACGTAATCTCCTCTGTGAACTCCTCTCCTCTCCTCTCCTCTCCTCTCCTCTCCTCTCCCCTCTTAAAAGTGCTGTACTTTCATTTTCGTGTGCAAACTCTATTTGTTCTCAAAAGCTCTTTGACATAATCACATCACACGTCATAAGCACTTGTCTAGCCACTTTTTTATCGTGAATTTTGAGCACCAGTGATTGGTAGCAAGATTCTCAATACGCTCCTATCTTCTAATCCATGCCAAGATGACATGGAACGTTGGACACACGCTGAGAATGTCTTATGATGTAATTTTGATTACAATATCAAATGCTGAAATAATGTGTTTTCTGTAAAAAGGCCTCATTAGAAAAAGTAAACAAAGTAAAGAAAAATATCACGGAAAATAAACAGGGGCTAAAGCTCGCGTCTGACCTTATCACTATCATTATTAGTGCCTATGAATCCTTTATGAGACATTAATAGGCATGTCCTTCCAATTCATGCAGAGTCCAAGGCATTGAAAGCGAGGGAAAGGGGTTTTATATATCTGTAATGTGAGATGTGATCCTATCATTGCCTTCAAGACGTCCAAGAGGCTTAGAAAAAGATTTGGCGCAGAGAACAATAACTTGTAAAGTTCCGAACTACTAAGACATGCAATTTTTATTTGTTTTAAGTTATTTCTGATCTTCAAATCTGCGGGAATGATGAAAAAAATCAATAAAAGTACAGAGGTTATTTGCTTTGTGGAATTAGAGCATGCAACAAGTGTCATCAGCTGTCACATGATAGTATTTAAGTAGCTCCATCTCTTTCCTGCTTCAAGGCATTCAAGCTTCAAATAAAAGATCGTTTTGCAAAGTTATGATATTAATACTGTTGTCCAGTTAAAAGCCATGGCATCTTTTCKGTTCGTGGTGCTTTTATGGAGTTTGAATACGCAGTCTTTTGGATTTGACATGGAGGAAACTCGTGAGCAAGCCAGAAAGATATCTCGAGTGTTACATGCAACTCTCGAAGAGAACATTGGGAAACAACAGCTGGAAAAAGCATACGAGACGACATCGTGTTCAACAGTGTCTGAGGAAAAACTGGATATCTTTCTTGATATATTAATTTTATCTTTTGAAAAAAGGTTCAATGATACTCAAACTGCATTGATGAATTCAAAAGCATCGATTGCCAGCCATGAAGCAGGAAACAGCACACAAGGAAAAATGAAAATTGAAGTGCAAGATTGTTGCACTAATCTCCAGCGACCCTTGCCTTACATTGCTCGTTTTCATGCCGAGGTCAACACCTCTGTAGCTTGCGAAAACGTCCATGTCTTTCCTTCCTACAACCAGAGTAAAAAGGAAAATCTCTTCAATACTTTCAGAAGCAATTTCAAAGTCTCTTCAACAATTTCTTGGCAGTATTTTGGGTCATCGCAAGGAAATTACTTGCAGTTTCCATCTTCGTCAAGAGTCTGTAACTCCACGAATGCTTTTGACCCTAGATTCAAGTAAGTCAGTGTTAATCAACTATCTCTTCACGTTTTAGCTAATTTTTCCCCTGTTCCTTTAGATAACTAAGTGGAAACATGCAATTTAAGTCCAACTAAATTTCCATAAATGCTAAAAATTGCAAAAAAATCATTCTAAAATTGCATGGCCAAATTATCAAAAATTTTCCACCTATTTTTAAAATGAAACCGCGTAAATAAATGTACTCTTCATATTTATTAGAGAATACTTAAAATATTTTGTTGCTTAAGAAAAAGTGTTAAAAACCGCTCTTTGAGCGCTACGTCTCCATGGAATGTTTGCTAAATCTAAAAGTGTCTGTAACACTTCGAAAAAAGTTTTTACTCGGGCTTTCGAAGAAATGCCCGAGGTATAAATTGGGCTTTATTTGCGTTCTGTCACAAATCGCAGTTGCGTTCAAAGCGCATGCGCAAGTTCTATGCGCGTGCGTAGTATGCGCCACATAAGCACATGGTCGAGCAATGGCGGAATTTTGCAAGGTTTCGTCAGAAGGATGACAGTGTTCACGAAGAATTCTTTCGTTTTTCTGCTATGAAGCCCGAGTTCACGCAGATATGCGTCTAGTTCTTTTAAGACGGTTGTGCAACGTATCTTTTATATTCGTAAACCACTCGCGGCATCTTTTAAAAGTAAACAGGAAAARAATGTGATTGAATCGAGATAATAGTCCAGCTATTGTTTTTAAAGACTTTTGTTCCATGGTCTCGAACTGTACAATTTTGACGTCATATGATTGTGTTAGATTTTGTAGCTTGTCCATTTTATTTTAGGAAATGAAGCGCTCAGCGTCTACATGATAAACATCTACTCTTCTTTGCGTTATTTGTTCAAGTTTCAAAGTTATACTGATATCATCAATCAATTTTCTCTTATTTCCTTCTCTATCGTGGGGCTTTTGCGCAGCCACAAAAAAGAACAAATTTTTACTGCGCATTGAGTATTAGATATTATCTGATATTATTAGTAATAATTTATTTAATATTAGATAATTCCCAATGCGCATTAAGAATCGATTTCAGCTATAATTTTCTCAGTTTATTTCGGGGCTATTGCTACAAAAAATGAGCAAAATCTGACTGCGCATTGAGTAATAGATATTATCATTATTATGATTAGGTTATTGTTATTATTAATGCACAGTGTATTGACATTTTCAGATCGTGGTACGTCAATGCTGTGTCGCGTGCGCACGTGAATGTCGTCTTGGTCATTGACAAAAGTTTCTCTATGAAGACCAGGGAACGCATGGAGCTGGCACGTCAAGCAAGCATCACAGTGTTAGAAACATTAGGAGCTGATGACAGTGTAAGGGAGAATACATGTTGATGATACTATAATAAGACCGGCTTGAAACAAAAGATAAAGGGTTATGTATATAATTTTAAAATAGAGATATGAAAAAATGCACGCACCCTCAGCAATTTGTTAAGCTCGGGAATCGTATCCTCGTCAACTAAAGCAAACTTGTCCTCCTACCTGCCAATCTTCCCTAAAAATTCTCAGAAAAGATCAATTCCCTTAACAATCAATTTTGGCTGAGCACATTATTAATAATAAGATGTTAGATTGCTCGACCAACCTATCGTAAGACATTCTTTTTGCAACTATTTGCAGATTGGTGTGATTGCGTTCTCGTCGAGAGTTACCGCACCGTCGGGTTGTTTTGGTGCTGCTATCGCGCAAGCAAATCCCTCAAATATAAACCAGTTGAAGACGTGGGTTAAAAGACTYCAACCAGGCGGTAAGTAATGTACAACTTGTGTAAATCAAATCAGAGGAGGAAGTTTACATGAAGGTAATGTTATCCTGCTGCTAAGAATGCAAGGATCATATTAGCTTGGGCTGTAGCTATGGCGTAGTGTTTTTCCATTTCAGACCACGTTTCATTCCCTAGAGAATCATTTCTTTGTTTAATAGTTGTGCATGAGAAGACACATGAATATGGAAACAACTCAAAAAAATAATCTTATTCTCAAGATGTGTCTAGTTGCCCTATTTCACTATGACGTCACTGCTTGTTTATGTGGGGGATAGAATCGCCAAATCCAATATAAAGTTCAACAAAATTTGCTCCTATCGAAACAGTTTAATCTAAAATGGCCTGGTTTTCAGATATAATATGTGTTAATATGTACTAAAAAATATTCTGAGCGTTTCCTGGCTATTCTATTTCTCTTCGTGGATTGATACGGGTTTTAGAACAATTTTCGGTGAATCTGCGTTGATTTGACCCCCTCCGATGACCATGATCCTTTGCGTTTAAACAATAGATTGTTTTGATGTGACGTCATAGTGAAATAGGGCAATTAAGATTTCAGTATTTTTTATACGGTAACTTTGGTCGTGTTATTTATTTTTTGGCATTGCATTGTTGTTTTTCAGGAGGGACAAACTACGTACCTGCTTTCGTTCAAGCCTTCAAGATGCTGGAAAGTCAGCGTCATAACCAGGTTGGTATAACRTCATTGGTGTTGGGATCCCTGTGGTAAGGTGACTGAAAAATATTCCTTTGATATATTTTGCCTAGACTTCAAATGCAACGAGTGTTATTCTTTTCTTGACTGACGGTGAAACTCGTGATGCTGAAAACGCCATATTTGAAGCTATACGTCATGGTCAAAATCACATGGTGAGTCAGACCTGATTACGTAACTGATTACCCCGATATATACCATACTTTCCTTGTATTCTACTGCCCGATGTTCATAAGGCTTGGAGCTGTGGGGTCTGCGGGGCGCTTAAGCACTTCCCACTCAGTTGTCGCAACACGCTACACAGGTATCCCAACCAGTCTCCAAATGAACATCATCATTAACACAGGTACCCCAATGCATTGTAAAATTTCACCGATTGATAAATATTTACAGCAAAACCGTACGATAATCAACACGTATGGCTTAGGAAGCGGTCTCAACAACAATGCCTTACAGAGACTCCAAAAGATAGCCAATCAAAACAGCGGAAAATTCACACATATCCTTGACTCCGACGCATCCGGGCTGCGGTCAATTATGGGTCAATATTACTCAGAGATCCCCGGTACTATACGAGATGGCCCTGTTATATCTCTCCCTCGCCTAGACAAAGATCTAGGCCTGGTGACTACTATGTCAGCGGCTTGTCTTGGTTCACGTAATGACGTCATAGGCGTGGTGGCTCAGGATGTGGCTATCAGTGAGTTGTTGAAGGAAGCCGTAAAGTACTCGGCGTCTGATGGTCTGGCTTACGTTGCAGTCATAGATACGAAAGGTAATATTGCTTGCTTGCTTGCTTGCTTGCTTGCTCTTCGATTTTATGTGGCACCATTTMTTATCGTTGCGTCTTCTCCAAACAGGTCGAACTATTATCCACCCAAGTGTTCCCAAGCCAACGGATTACGTTGCTGACCCAGTGTTTCAGTCTTTGTCTTTGTATGAACCGAGTGTTAAAGAAGACATGTTGCAGAAGATTACTAGTGGAAATCCTGGAAGTGCACATATGAAGGTGGGCAGGATATTTTCTATTATATCCATCCATCCATCCATCCATCCATCCACCCATCCACCCATCCATCTATAACTTTATCTATAACTTCTAGGCTTACATGTCCTCGTCTCGAGGGGATCCACAGACAGACGGAGTCCAAACAGTCATGGTTAATGCTACTTACATGTGGAGGCCTGTTCGTGGAAGTCCTTACATCGTGTTACTGGTGACTGCAAGAGATCACATACAAACCGCTGAATCACACAAGGTATGAACTGCAGACTCTGATTTTCTGTTGCTATAAACAAGTGGTAAAAAATAAAGAAGAAGTGGTTCCACGGAGACCATATTGTGAGGCAAAACAATAGATTTGTTATCTTTGGGAAATGAAATCTATTGTCCCGCGAAATCATTGCATTGTCTTGCCTTCCAACATGGCTGCCGTACCCCCCTCCCCTCCGTAAAAATATGACCCCCTCGGCCTTTCGCAGCATATTGTTCTTTCTGTCTTCTTATTCTTTAGTGCATTTTTAATTGAATATAACTTTCCTCAGTTTGTGGCTCTGAGCCCTCAAATCAAGTCACACTACCATCGACTGGATCTGACAATGAACAAAATCGACCTCTCCACTACCCCTGTGTGTAACATGAATGGCTACTTGTTGTCAAGGCTTTTTTCCACAGTCAAGGTGAGTCTCTAGCTAAGGACGGTATATTGCAGCCTATATCAARATGATAATTTTAATTTTCGCGTAAAATAAAAGACTTGAACTAGAATGGACCTCTTTAGCTAGCTTTGGCGTAATGTTTTCCAATTTCATTTCCTTTCCTAGAGTATCATTTCCTTATTTGWTGGCTGCACATGAGAAGACACATGAATATGAATACAACTCAAACAAAGAAATCTTATTCTCAAGACCAAATGTCATTCCCTAGAGTATCATTTCTTTGTTTAACGGCTGCACATGAGAAGACACATGAATATGGATACAACTCAAACAAAGAAATCTTATTCTCAAGACCATGTGTCATTCCCTAGAGTATCATTTCTTTGTTTAACGGCTGCACATGAGAAGACACATGAATATGAATACAACTCAAACAAAGAAATCTTATTCTCAAGACCATGTGTCATTCCCTATAGAGTATCATTTCTTTGTTTAACGGTTGCACATGAGAAGATACATGAATATGGATACAACTCAAACAAAGAATCTTATACTCAAGAGAATTACACCTGGTCTGAAATAGGAAAACATTACGTCCAAGCAGAAGATGTCTATTAGCTAATAACTTTATAATTTTCGATTTCTATATAACACGTACACAGCTTGCTCCAGAAGCGTTCAACGACAGTTCGCGGTATGTCGCTACACCCGAGACTCTGACAAGTGTCGATTCCATGGAAACGTTCTTTAACGACCAATCGCCACAAGCTAAGTATCCAGGTACAATCGTCTTTGAACCGCCATTGATCACCTTCCTTCYCAGAGTTTTACTTTATTCCTTTCCTGTTTGTTTGCTTTTTTCTTCTTCATCTTCCCTTCTTCTCTCTCTTTTTTCCTTCTTTTCTTTATTCTTCGTTGTTTT